TTTCATCCTAGATTTCTAGAATATTTGAGACATGTAAGATGTTTGTTGTTTGTTTGTTATATTGTATTTACCTGATTTAGCTATTTGTTGTATTTATTTGGTTACATGTTTGTTTACTTCCAAAAGCGTTTGTTTGTTTGTGCCAAGTGATCTACATTACAGGGTAAACAGTAATCCCCTAAAATTTCAAATTTTTCTAAAAAAGTTTTCCCAAAAATTTGGTTTTTTGAAGATAGCTAAAGATAGTGTCTTGCAAGGGCAGAGACTTTCTAAATAACCAGTGTTAATTTTCTATGGTCTTTTTTTTTTCTTAGGACTATTTTTATTGTTTTCTTAGTACAGTTATGTCATTTTTCCAGAAGTACTTTTGCTCCAGTTTTGATTACAGTGATCTACAGGAAGAGTTCACGAAATTTTTGTAAAATTTTCTATTGTAATAATTAATTAATATTAAAATTATTTATTTATTTATATTATTGGTTATCTTGTTTATTCTAACAGTTTAAAGCTAAAAATTAATATTGTTATATATAAAGATTTTTAAATCTTAATAATTTATTTATAATTTTTTTATGTCAAATAATGTAGGTTTTGGACTATCTTTTAATATATTTTTATCATTATTTTATAAACAATTTGTTAAGTAATAAATTTTTAAAAATTTTAATTTTTTAAAAAAATTAATTTTTTTTTTAAAAAAATCAGATTTTAAGCATTTTCACAAGCCATATACAGTGTAATATATTTGTACTACACAAGTGTATAGCTATGCATATTCTGAATATACAGTTAAAATTTAGCTTAATTAGATTAATAGTTGTCAAAATATAAATTTTTAAAATTTTTTAACCAAATTACTATATTATATATAAATCTTGTACAAAATTACTATAATAATTTTTGTACAACTTTTGTATAGCATAGTAATTTGGTTACAAAATTTTAAAAAACTTTAAAAATTTATATTTTAACAACTATTCATCCAATTAAGCTAAACTTTAACTGTATATTTAGAATATACATAGCTATGCACTTGTATATTACAAGCTTCTTACACTGTATATAGCTTGTGAAAATGCCTAAAATCTAATTTTTCTTAATTTTTTTAAAAAATTAAAAATTTTAAAAGAAATTAACTAATATTCACCACAGGTAATTATTATCTATTATCTACAATATAAACAAAAACAATTAATTTTTAGCAAAACAAATTTAATTTTTTTAAAATTAAAGCAAAAATAAGAGTTAGAGGTTAGAGTTTGGGGTTAGAGCAGAGTAGAGCTTTATATATAGTAAAATCAGGCAAGAAATTTTTTTTATTAAAGCTTAAAAGAGTTTTATAAGCAAAATTTTAAGATATAAGTAGTTTTTTAAAAAATTTGCTGTTTTTGTTATACAAAATTGATTTATATATATTTAATTCTAAAATTTAATTGGCAAATTGACTACAGATAATAATTACCTGTAATGTAAATTAGAAATATTTTTTTTAAAATATTAAAATTTTTAAAAATTTATTACTTAACAATTGTTTATAAAATAATGATAAAAAATATATTAAAAAATAGCCCAAAACCTATATTATTGATATAAAAAAATTATAAATAAATTATTAAAATTTAAAATTTTTTATATATAAACAATATTAATTTTTAGCTTTAAACTGCTAGAATAAACAAGATAACTAATAATTATTATAATATATAATAAATATTAAAATTAATTAGTTATTTTATATTTATTATATAGTATTTATTAGTATTAATAGATTGGATTTACTTGTATTACTAGTAATACATTGTACTATATTGTGACAGAAAATAAATTAGATTTTTGCCTGTTTAAATAAATTAACCATATATAAAAAAATAATAAATTACTTATCATAACAAGAAGATATTATAATAATTATTTCAAATTTGTCAGAGTTGTATATGAGGCAAGTCATGCATTAATAGTTAGTATATAATCACAGTTTGTATAACACAATGATAATTGAAGTAATGTGAAGATGATCAAAGAAAGTAAAGTTTAATACAATATGCATAATAAGATTAGTATAATTTTTCTGATTTGTATAATAATAAGAACAAGTTTAAAAAAAAATTTAGAGTTAACTTAGTAAAATACTTTATAGTTATGAGCTACTCAGTGGTTACATACTATATTGTAGTTGTAACAATTTTGTTGTTACAGATTCTTTGGTAGTTGCAAGTTCTTTTATGAAATAAAGTAGATATTCAAATACCAAATATTAAAGCAAGCAAGTTTGAAAGCTAGTTATTAATACTGTATGTTAAATTTACTATATAATATATTTATAAAATTTATGATAGCTTACTTTAATATGAAATTATTGCTTATCCACTCTTAGGAAACATGTGAAAAACTAAGTAAATTTTTGCAAAGTTCTACTAGCTGTATGGAATTCATATCTATTTTTGAAAATAATACAAGTACTAGTCAAAAATAGATATTTTTAGTAATAGTAATCAAAATAATAATACAAATATAACAAATATTAGTAATTCAAATAGTATATTTTAGATTAATAAATTTGTAACTGTTAATTCTCATTAAGCATCTCATTCTTATTCTAGTAAGCCAATTTTACATATAGTTAAATTACAAATACAATACCTAAACAGTTACTTGAGCAGTTAATTATATTAAGTCAATAGTAATACTAGCTACAAATAGCTATACATATGCAAGTAAGGCCATTTGAAGTTATAATTTCATTTAACATTTCTTTCGAAGCTTAAGCGCAGTGGGAGAGAGGCCAAATTAAACAAACAATATATAACATCTCAAAAAATCACCATTATTATTAGTTGATTTATAGTCACATGATTTATTGAAATCTTAAAGATGTAGTGGACGTTCTGATTGGCTTGTTTAATTTTAGAAGGGAGCTATTAGAGGCAGTGGGAGGAGAACATTAAACAAAATTGTAACTTTAAACCGCCTAAGCAAGAATAGCAAAACCTAATTTGAGTAGTATTTATATAGTTTATAGGCATTTTGATTATTATAAAATATATAAAATGTGTCAATATTTATGACTATTAGTCAATAAAATCAGAAACTAGTAAAGTAGCACTAGCATTTAGGCAATATATATTATACAAAAGATTTTAAAATATTATAAAATATTTAATACTAATAAACATATTAGTTAATAAATATTCTTATTGTTCTGTATAACAGTTTTATAATGCATTTAATAAAACCCTTATCAATACTATTCAGCTTGGTACTTTTCTTTGTTTAGATAAATCAATGTATTAGTAGAATAGAAAGATAGATAAGAGTCTATTTCAATATAAGATACTAAAAAAACTATATCCAATTAGATATGAGTTTAAAGTTCTTGCAGATGCTAAAAGTAATTTGTTTTTGCAATTAGATCTAGTAGAATCTTCAGAATATAAACTAAAAAAAATTTGACAAATATACACAAACAGTTGTATTTGTATTAAGAATAACAGAATTATAGTTTTATAGTGAAGTTAATATTCAATTATTATTTTAATACTACAATTTCTGATCAGACCAAAAAATAACAAAAATTGAACTCTGATAATTTTAAACACCAATTCACTAACCTTAAAAATTACTTTACTAGGACCCTGAAATATATATAGATAGGTTAGGTTTTAGTTTGCTTATTTTTGATCTTTTTTGTTCAGATTATTTCTATTTATAGTAATTAGTTTGCTTATTTTTGACTTTTTTCTTGCAGATCTTTTTAAATTTAGTAATTTTTGTAAAACCTTACTAGGACCCTGAAATATATATAGAGGAGTAAGGTTTTACAAAATTACTAAATTTAAAAAGATTTGCAAAAAAAAAGTCAAAAATAAGCAAACTAATTACTATAAATAGAAATAATCAGGTGTGGCAACTTAGTAAAGTGGTCTAGTTGTCACCCCACCAAGTGGCAGGTCTAGTGTTCGAATCCCATGGACAATGATTTCAAATAATAGGCTGTATAAGATTAACGACTATCTCAAAAATGGCTTGAATCTTTGATCTGTAATTTTAGGTAACACTATTCTCGAATAGGAAGTGAGCTATCACAAAGTGGCAGAGTGTAGGTCCTGCATCTGTGTACAGATTACGCAGAGAAATGCATTCCAGTAATTATCAGGTACAAACTCTATGATAAGTCAATGCCGTGTAAATCCTAGAAAGCCAGGATAACTGAAAACTCGTTTGGGAAAACCTGAGTAGAGATATAACAGAAGCTTTCGATGATGCTGTGAAATAGAACTTGGATGGCACCGGTTCTGGGGTATTGTTCAGACTGGACCTCTTAGAGGTGAGGGGTTGACCAGAGTGGCCGCCGGAGTCATACCGGAGGAAAAGAACGTGTGTTATAAAATCACGTACTAGGAGTTTGGAGTCCAAGGGCACATAAAGCCGGGATAAACTAATCTCATTCTAGGCTAACTAACTGGGATCGAATGTTAAGCCGGGGAGAAGGATCTAAAAGAGAAGTGAAGTGGGCATTGGGGTGAATGTGAACCCTATAAAGGGCAGAGGATGTGTAGGGGTAATACCCAAGTACTAACTTTGGTTTAAAGACGTAACATCTCTGATATCTAATTTGGAGTGTGTGAGATACAGAAAGGTTGGGGTGGGTATATACAGTTTACGCCCATTTAGATAAGATAATTAGTTTACCAAATATAGATAAAGTAGATAGCAGTGCTGGAAATAACGGTACTAGAGTTAAATATATATGTCGGGTATGGACTGGTTAGATTAAATTTGATACTGTAAATGCAATTTGTACAAGGGTCTTTGTGATCTTCGATATCTAAAACATCAATAAACTCTAGTCTCCAGACACTTAACAAAAAAAAATAAAATAAAATAAAAATAATCTGCACAAAAAAGATCAAAAATAAGCAAACTAAAACCTAACCTATCTATGTATATTTCAGGGTCCTACTTTACTTCTCCATATATATTTTGGGGTCCTTCTTACTATATCATGGCTCAAATTTAATACCAATATCAAGGTTGTAGCAAATTTACAACTACTTGCTATAGCAGTGTTATATCATAAGCAATCTGTACAAATTGCTGAGCAAATCATATTCATACAATATGTGATTTAGTTCTAATAAGGTTAAAACTTTTATATTTGTTACTCAAAACTTATTCTATTATTTCTAAATGCACAAAGCTAATTTATTTCTATAGTGCATCACCTAATGACTTAGATTATATACTATGTGTAGTATATTTATAATTTTTTTGTTTATATTATAAATATAAATAAAAATTATACTATAAATAAAGAGTATATATAGGTTTTTAAATATTAAAATTATTAAAATTTATTAAGTTTTGAAATTTATAAATTTTTATAAAGTGTATTGCTGATAGTACAAAGGTGTAAATCCAATTTATTAAAATTAATTAATTATTTAAGAGATTTAATTTATAGTACTATAGCACTATAGTACTAGGGTATTATAACACATTAAAATTTAAGATCAGGTGTAACATATTGATTATGCTTTTGTGTAACAAAAATAAGAAATTTTTAAAAAATAGTTGTCTTAAAATTTTGATTAAAAACTATCTTTTGTATTTTAATAAAAAAAATTCCTTGCAAAATTTTAGCATAAACTATGCCTTGTCAAACTTTTGTCTTAGCTTTAATCTAACACTAATTAAAAGTTTTATTTTTTGCATATAAAAAAGATGTTTTGATTTATATGTTACACTAATTTTTTATTTACATATAGGATAGCGCCATAGTGCTATAGCACTATAATAATATTCTCTTTATTTAATATTATTTTTAAAGTATTTATTATTAATTATTATAGTATATAATAAATATTATAATTAATTACTTATTTAATACTTATTATTATATAATAAATAATAAGTATTAAAATTAGAGACTTATTAATGCCACCCCCACTTTTGTTAATGGCACCCTCTAGATATAAAAAGGCTCCAGAAGAGGTATTTTTATTAAGTAAATCCTTATTTTGACTTTAGTAAATGTTGTTCATTAGGCTATTCCGGTTCTAATGGTAGTAAAATCATTAAAGTCAGACTAGCAGTTTCAAAGATATATATATTCGAAGTTAGTTAACTTTAATTTTCTTTTTAAAAAAACTACTAGTCCAATTTTAATGATTTTCTACCATTAGAACTGGAAGGGCCTGCTGAACAACTTTACAGCTATTTTCATTATTTCTGGGACACCTATAAAAAAAACTTGCTGAAAAATTTTTTGGCTGGTAATTTTTTCAGCATAATAAAAATTGATATAATACTGTAATATATACATAATTTAAAATCAGGTGGCTAATATAAATATAAAATTATGCACATCTCTTGTTGAATTCAAAAAATATGATATTTTCAAACCACATTCGCTAGCAAATTATTGAAAAAAATTGAAGGCCTATCAACTCGAAAAATTGCAAAACACTTAGGTGTTAGCAGGTCTTCTATAAGTCGGGTTTTTGTGCATTTTCAAAGATATAGTTGTATTGAAAAACTTTCATTGCTTTCAGAAAAACTACATGAATAATATAAATTATATTCAAGTTTTAATGAAAGAAAAACCTGACTGATACTTGTTTGAATTACAATCCGAGATAGAACTTTGGTTGGGACGTAACATTAGGCTTACAACAATTTGGAGGGCTAATTCTTCGATAGACTAATTAGTTTTTGATGATTTTGGACTTGAGCGAATACGAAAATTCTTAGCATTTATTTGAAATAAAAAGCATTGAAAATAGACCAGCCATTCATAAAATATCAGTATGATTTTAACAAAAAATTGCTTATTTCTATTGATGACCAACTCTAGTTTGCTATATTTCATGAATGACCAATCCGTTCTGTACCATCTTCAATTAAATCCTACAGTTTGCGGAATTCGTTTAAGCACAGAATTATCAAAATTATATTGACTATTCTGATTTATAGAATAAACAATTATTTCCGTTTTTTCTTAAAAGCACTATAAAATGAGACGTGAATATTAATTTAAATTTAATTATCAAAAAAATACATACTGTTAGTAGAAATTGATCTATTCTAATTTCGAATCATATTGATCTATGGTTTTTCATAACCAAAAGCATAGATACATGTAAAAATCATGCGATATGATGAAGAGTCATGTGGACCGATTTAAGTTCAAGATTTTGCGCTTCCATAAAAATGATAAAATCTATATTAGGTTAGTGCAATTCCGAAGACAATGTTTTTATAAATGATTGTCATACACTTTAATTGAGACAGAAACCTGTTAAAACAATAAAGTTTCAAGTTAGTACATTCATATGGATGGTTAAACATATCTCATACTATAATACATATAAATGTAGTGCTATGTGATGCAATCTCATGAAGTTTAAATGAGAATTTCACAGTTTATTGCATTTAATCATTGTCCAATCAATTGAGATTTTGCGAATGTACGCTATTAAAAATGCATAGTAACTATACATTTCGTGATATTACATATCACTTCATTTCTGGTATTTATGCAAATGAAACAATAATCTTCATACTCATCATGAATAGAACTGAATAACTTGAATTCTTTAATTTAAATGCACAAATTAATTAATACTTTTAATATTATAAAATAAAATTTCAGTATTATTTCAATAACAATAACTTCACAGACAACTTAGTTTACCGACAATTAACTCACAGGCAAGGCTTATTATGCCAACAAATAAAATGCTCACATATTAAATAGTTTAAAATCACGTTAATTTATAAAAATATTTGTGCATCAAAAATTTTTTTTTATGTACACACATGTGCATCAAATTTTTCACATTGCATCAGAATTTGCACAGTGCATACACATTGTGCACGTAGTTTTTGATCTGAATTTTAAACACTGACTCTAATAACAGTAATGACATCAAGCAAAATATCTCCAACTTTGTAAACTCCATTACATTCTTTAATAAACTTACACCTATAATACTCAGCTTGACGAATAGCAAAACTCATTCTAAATCTTTTGTTACTTTTGTCATTTCCTTCTCTTTTTGTCTCCACAATAGCAAATATACCTTTACTATTGGTAAGAATTAGATCATTTTCTCTGTCTAAAGCAGGGCGCCAATCGCATTTTAGAAGGTAATTGAACTCAGGAAAAATTATATCTTTTGTATTGAGTTTATCAATTAGTTCTTTCTTTATTTCCCACTCCTGTTTTTATCAGTTTCTGCATTAAATTTTTCCCTTTCTTCTTCATCTCCATAAAAATTGGGTAAAAATTCATTATCAATCAATATATTCAATTGCTCAATCAATTATTTTAGGTTCAGTGTCTTTGAACCAGTACCATAAGATACTATTTGGGGTGTTTAAAATTTTAATAAGATTTTCTTCATCGTTACTATTAAAGATTTTTATAAAATCGTTTGGCAGATAATTATCAATTTTATCAATGGGAAATTCAATTACTGTTTCACCCTTGTGAAGACTATTAAAGAGATGTTGAAACCATTTTTTGTGGGGTTGTTCGATTTCGTCACTCATTTTTTTCATAAAAAATTTAAGAATATGTACGTACGAATGTATGTATATCTGGATACAAAATTTAAAATGGTAGAGAACTTCATATGTCATTGTTGACATGTGACCAGTGTTTAAAATTCAGATCAAAAACTACGTGCACAATGTGCATACACTGTGCAAATTCTGATGCACATGTGAAAAATTTGATGCACATGTGTGTACATAAAAAAAAATTTTTGATGCACAAATATTTTTATAAATTAACGTGATTTTAAACTATTTAATATGTGAGCATTTTATTTGTTGGCATAATAAGCCTTGCCTGTGAGTTAATTGTCGGTAAACTAAGTTGTCTGTGAAGTTATTGTTATTGAAATAATACTAAAATTTTATTTTATAATATTAAAAGTATTAATTAATTTGTGCATTTAAATTAAGAAATTCAAGTTATTCAGTTCTATTCATGATGAGTATGAAGATTATTGTTTCATTTGCATAAATACCAGGAATGGAGTGATATGTAATATCACGAAATATATAGTTACTATGGCATTTTTAATGGTATACATTCGCAAAATCTCATAATTGATTAGACAATGATTAAATGCAATAAACTGTGAAATTCTCATTTAAACTTCATGAGATTGCATCGCATAGCACTATATTTATATGTATTATAGTATGAGATATGTTTAACCATCCATATGAACGTACTAACTTGAAACTTTATTGTTTTAACAGGTTTCTGTCTCGATTAAAGTGCATGACAATCATTTATAAAAACATTGAACTGAAATCGGTCCACATGACTCTTTATCATATCGCATGATTTTTACATGTATCTATGCTTTTGGTTATGAAAAACCATAGATCGATATGATTCAGAATTAGAATAGATCAATTTTTACTAACAGTATGTATATTTTTAATAATTAAATTGAAAAAAAATAAGCCCTCTATTTCTTATTTTCTTGTTTAATTATTAATTAATATTCACGTCTTATTTTACGGTGCTCTCAAGAAAAAATGGAAATAATTGTTTATATTATTTATTCTATAAATCAGAATAGTCAATATAATTTTGATAATTTTGTGCTTAAACGAATTCTGCAAACTGTAGGATTTAATTTAAGATAGTACAGAACGGATTGGTTGTTCATGAAATATAGCAAACTAGAGTTGGTCATCAATAGAAATAAGCAATTTTTTGTTAAAATTATACTGATATTTTATGAACGGCTGATCCATTTTCAATGCTTTTTATTTCAAATAAATGCTAAGAATTTTAGTATTCGCTCAAGTCCAAAATCATCAAAAACTAATTAGTCTATCAGAGCATTAGCCCTCCAAATTGTTGTAAGACTAATGTTATGTCTCAACCAAAGTTCCATCTCGGATTGTAATTCAAACAAGTACCAGTCAGGTTGTTCTTTCC